GCCTGTAGTCTCAGCTACTTAGGAGGCTGAGGCAAGAGAATCGCTTAAGCCCAAGAGTTGGAGGTTGCTGTGAGCTGTGACGCCACAGCACTCTACCAAGAGTGACATACTGAAACTCTTATCTCAAAAAAAAAGTTTCAGATTTGGGGCCATTTCAGAGTTTGGATTTTTATGTAACACTTCTGAGGAACTCATATTGCACAGTAAGTTTATACATTTTGACAACTTCCTGAGATTTTTTTGTCTTCTATTTCACAGACAAGGAATTGAGAATACACCTAGCTGGCAAAACAGCCATTCCACCCCCTCAGGCCATGAGTCAACTCGGTAGTCAGTTTTCTTGACTTTAATTACCTGGCATGATTACATAGATTGTCAGAGTTCATGTTAGTTATTTGGTCATTGATGCTTTCCCCTTGTTCCTCCAGGGCCTTTCTGAATATGGAATTTTTTTAATCATAAAGTTACACATAACATAAAATTTTACTATTTTAACCCATTTTACATGTGTGGTTCAGTACATTCACATTGTTGTACCACCACCACTGCTGTTCATCCCCATCTTACCAACCCAAACAAAAACTGTACCCACTAAACAACTCCCATCCCCTGGTCACCATTATTCTACTTTCTGTTTTATAAATTCAGCTGGGTCCCTCTTGTAAGTGTAAGTGTAAGCTGGGACCTCTGGGTCCCTCTTGTAAGTGGAATCACACAGTGTTTGTCTTTCTGTGACAGGCTTATTTCACTTAGCATAACGTCCTCACAGTTCATCCGTGTTGTGACATGTGTCAGGACTCCTTTTCTTTCTCAGCTGGGTGATAGTCCAGTGTCTATCTACCATGTTTTGTTTGTCCATCCATCTGTCGATGGGCACTTGGGTTGTTTAGACCTTTTGGAAATAAGCTGCTGTGAACATGAGTATATAAATATCTCTGAAGACCCTGCTCTCAGTTCTTTTAAAAATAAACTCAAAAGGGGAATTGCTGGATCAAATGGTATTTCAAGTTTTCAAGAAACCACCATACTGTTTTCTATAGCAGCTGCAACATTTTATATTCCCACCAGCAGTGCATAAGGGTTCTGATTTTCTTACATCCTCCCCAGCACTTCTTATTTTCTCTATTTCCATACCCTCACTAACACCTGTTATTTTCTAGGTTTTGTTTTGTTTATTGTTTTCAAGAGACAAGGTCTTACTGTGTTGCCCAGATTAGAGTGCAGTGGCTATTCACAGGTGCCATCATAGCCTGGCGCCAAGTGATTCTCCTGCCTCAGCTTCCAAGTAGCTGGGAGTACAAGTGCACATCATTGTGCCCAACTTGGCTTTTTAAATTTTTATTTAGTTAGTTGGCTTTTTGACAATAAGATACCACCTCATACCTGTTAGGGTCTCATTGTGGTTTGATTTGCTCTTCCTTGATGATTAGCAGTGTTGAGTATCTTTAGTGTGCTTTTAGGCCATTCATGTAACTTTTTTGGAAAAATGTCTATTTGAGTCCTTTCCTTAATCAGGTGGTTTTGTTTTTTTGTTGTTGAGTTGTAAGAGTTCTTTACATTTTCTGGATATTAATCCTTTATCAGGTATATGATGTGCAAATATTTCTTCCCATTCTGTGGGTTTCTTTTTTACTCTGTAGATTGCATTCTTCCTGCTTTTTAAAATTTTGTCCAGCTTATCTGTTTTTACTTCTGTCACTGAATCATAGGATTTTGAACATTTGTTTTGGGGTTTTTTTTGTTTTTGAGACAGAATCTCACTGTGTTGCCCTCAGTAGAGTGCCATGGCGTCATAGCTCACAGCAACCTCAGACTCTTAGGCTTGATTCTCTTGCCTCAACCTCCCAAGTAGCTGAGACTACAGGCACCTACCACAACTCCTGGCTATTTTCTTGTTGCAGTTGTCATTGTTGTTTAGCTGGCCCAGGCCAGGCGCAAACCACCTAGCCTCCATGCATGTGGCTGGCACCATAACCTTTGTGCTGTGGACGCCGAGCTGGAATTTGAACATTTGGCAAATAGGCTCCCCCACAGGTTTTCAGGTTTCGTCCTCTTTAGTTCAGCAAGCTTTCTCTAGGCAAAATTTGACAGAAATCATCGTTTTCATAGGTATATTTTCTTTTTTGGGGGTATTTTTTCTAGTGTTTCATATACAAGCATACACACACACCCAGTCTCATTCACCAATCATCAGCAGAGCCCTCAGTTATCCACTGACATCTTTACGAACACACGCACCCCTCCTTCAGACATAAGCCCTATTGCATTCCTTTTTTTTTTTTTTTTTTTGGTTTTGCTTCTCAGAACTGTAGAGATCATGCATTGGTAGACTGCAGTGTCTTCTGATATTCAGATTTGGCTGTTTCATCTGAAACATTGATTGATCCATAGGTATATTTTCATATTGCAGAAGTATGAGAGAAGTAGTCGTACTGTGTCACTGCTTATATTAAGTTCTTTTTAATTCTGTCACCCTCTACTAGATTGTGAACTCTTAATGGAGAGGAATTTTATTGTGCATTATGTATTGTCAGTACCCAGTCAATACCTGGCACATAGTAGGTAACCACATACATCAATTGAATTAATACCACATCATTTTATTTCTAAAATTTTTAATTTGGCTCTGATTTTAGAGTCTACAAAATAAAAACACCCTCCTGTCACTATTCCTTTTCATAAGCAAAAATAAAAAACAACCCTATAGGCTCTTCCACATCTTCTTAAATTCAGTCATTGGTGGTTTTTACTGCAGGAGCCTTCGAGCCACGTACTCAGGATTTGTAGCCATCCTTTGCGATTTCCTTCACTAACTGCTCAGGAGTTCGGACTGGTTCTTTCATTCTTTGGGTCTCAGTTTTTTCTCAGTAAATACTTCAGCTAATCATTTAAAAATAGTAAAAGTAGTATTCCTTTTGAAGGGGCAGAGGAACTAGGGATGCTCCTAAATAAGAAAAGAAGAGTTTGATTTATTCTGTTACTTTTGGGTTAACAAAAGTTAGCCCTTCTGGTGAGAGCTGGCTAGAGAGCCCACCTGTACCAGTAGAGCTTACTAGTGCAATGTAGACAAGTTTAGGTTTAGACTGGGGAGTAGGTGTGTCTTCTGTAGATTAAATTGTAAAGGCAATTCATTTTTGTTTTCTAAGGCCATGGAAATAGCATCTCAGAGGACCAAAGAAGAAAGGTCTAGCCAAGATCATGTGGATGAAGAGGTAGGATTTATTATCCATTTACAGCCGTAGGAAACACTTCTGTGTTTTTTTTAAGCAATATTTCATATTTCCTTGAGAGGTATTATGGTGTATAATTTAACTGAGGCAAGTTACATGATTTATATTCTGTTATATGGGTCTAGTCAGCAACGTAGCCCATTGTCCTAGATGGAGAAAAATTTTAAAGATCTCATTAGGATATATGAGTAAAGAAGAAAAAGCCTAAATGAGACAACTATTTTAAATTGCACGTGAAGGAAAAATAAAAAGAGGCTCGGTGCCTGTAGCTCAAGTGGCTGGGTGCCAGCCACATACGCTGGAGCTGGTAGATTTGAAAAAAAGAAAAGCTTGTTTTTAATTTGCAAATGTGAATTTTTAAATGACTTACATGTTGATTCCAGAAATACTGTAGATTTTAAATATTTATGCTTTGGTAAAAATCAGAGATGGAAATCTTTTCATGTTGGAAGGCTACATGAAGTTGTTTATAATCAAATAAGACCGCATTCAAGAAACTTGAATTAGATATACTTAAAAATGTACATTATTTTATAAAAGTCTAACTACTATATGCTAGATATAAAAAAGTGAAAACATTGCTAATTTTAAAGTTAACTAACCTTTTATTTTTTTGAAATAGAGTCTCACTCTGTTGCCCTCAGTAGAGTACTGTGGTGTCACAGCTTACACCAACCTCCAATTCTTGGGCTCAAGTGATTCTCTCACCTCAGCCTCCCAAGTAGCTGGGACCACAGGCTCTTGCCACAATGCCCAGCTATTTTTTGTTGCAGTTGCCACTGCTGTTTGTTTTTTTTTTTAAGCTGGCCAGGGTCAGGTTCGAACCTGCCACCCTTGGTATATGGGGCCAGCACCCTACCCACTGAGTCACAGGTGCCACCCTAACTAACCTTCTAATGACTTTGTTGTGCCTGCATTTTGTTGGAAAGTATTTGAGTATTTGGTTGGAGCATGGAGGTCCACAGTTCAGTTGATTCTCTAAATGGGTATCAGTCATTTTTGACTTTAAGGACATCTTGATTTGTTAGATAGGAGAATATAGAATTCACAGCAATAAGTGGTTGAAAATGAGAAAGCATTTTGGGGGTACTCTGTTGAAGTTTTGTGTACTCTGCTGCATTTTTCCATATTTCAGTTGGATCTTTCTTAGCATCAAACAGTGACTTTAAAATGTCATCTACTGAGAGCTCCATCAGTTCCATCTGTGTTCTTTAGGTGCCATGATGAGTCAATTAGGGGAGGCTGAAATGCTAATTTGAGTGTGATGTCGTGATTCTCAAAGTCAATGAACTTTTCATTGTATTCTCTAATTAATCATAGGTCTGTAACAGCTGCGCATTTTTCAGATGATTCTCATGTATCATCCTGCTCATCAGTGACGTTTGCTAACTAGAAAAAATGGTCATCAAAAATTTCCTTTGGAAGAAGAAATGTTCTGAAAGAAGTAGCTTTTTTCAGAATACTTTGGGTTTTTGTTGTTGTTGGGCTCAAGCAATCCTCTTGCCTCAGTCTCCCTAGTAGCTGGTACTATAGGCACCCACCATAATGCCCGGCTATATTTTAGAGACAGGGTCTTGCTCAGGCTGGTCTCAAACTCCTGCACTCAGGCAGTCCATCAACCTCAGACTCCTAGACTGCTAGGATTACAGGCATGAGCAAGTGTGCCTGGCTGATACTTGGGCTTTTTACCACATGTGCTGTATAGACAGTTTTACCTTGCAAAGAAGTATTCAAGTCATTTTGATTTGACATGATATCACACAGAAATGCTACATTCCAAAAAAATCTTTTTTATTCTCAAGCGGCTAAGGCGCCAGCCACATACATCTGAGCTGGCGGGTTCCAATCCAGCCTGGGGCCTGCCAAGCAATAATGACAACTGCCACCAATAAAAAAAAAAA